ATTTATATATTGCATAGAGGTGATCTGACTACACTATGGAAATTACTTATGTTTAATGCCGCGTTTTCTATTCTTCTTCTTAGGCATAATGTTCAGTAATTCGTACCGCTTATGGTGCAATCTATATATAAGATGTCTACACAGTGGTTCTAAATGAATGTTAATGTCATTAGTAAGCTCTATATGTGCCGAGGTGATACAGTAGGCATAAGGATTCACTACAACAGTGAGAAGATCTATTTCTACAGACAGACTATATTTAGCAAATAGCAAGCTACAGGTGTTGGTGATCTTTTCAAGAATATCTCTACGTATATATTCTAGCCGGGTACAGCCTAGCAGAAAATGAGCAAGCGTCTCTTCACTACAGTTGCATAGCATACAGACAACATCTATTTTGTTTTGATTAAAGGCGGCTCTATTCAGTCCCTCCCCGTGATCGACTCTCCCACTCGCGTTAATGTAGCCATCGTAGAGCAGTGGAATATAACGACTGAATTATTCGGGTAAAGTGAATGTAAGACGAAAGGATAGAAAATAGGACAGTTAGGCCTATAAGGATCCTGTATTGTATTGTAAGTGCATCATTTTGCAAAATTAAACGACATCCACCCTTTTTACTCACGTGCAGAACTTTCCAAAAATGAAATGGGCGTTGATCGTGTCGAAGTGATCCTCCCCCCTTTTTATGTGTAAAAACAGGCACCCTTGACACTCTTTGTTTCAACACTTGCCCAATTGTACCGCGATTTAGTCAATTTAAACTGGACAGAGCAAATTTATTAAAATGTCAGGTGCATAAATATCAAATGGATTTAATATGTTAATAAAGATTCGCAAGGGAGACGGATTTATGCAAGTTTTCTTGTTGCCGAATTCCTATATTTCTGTTGTATATTTGTTATTTGTGGACTTTTGAAGAAAAAATATTGTTTAAGCTAAGTACCTTCTTATGCACGCACGAATTGTTTATGTTAATGCATATATATTCTACCAATATGTGATTATTGTTGTACCATTTTGTGATTTATTATGTATAGACAGGAACATATATATTGACGTTAGATATACTGTTCCCAGGTATAGATAAATTAAACAAATTATTTAGGAGGTCAGCAAGTGCTTTTTTAAAAGCTGATATAAAGACACTATCATCATAACTATTAAATAAATTACAATATATTTATATCGAGAATACAATTCAATACCAGAAAGCTATTCTGTTATTCAAATCTTTATATGGATTCGCACCTCCTTATTCAGAAGAAAATTTCCAATGTGTTCAATGTTTCAGTTGTCAGTCACGTTCCATTTACAATAACACTTTATACCTGCCAAAGCCAAGGAGCAATTTTATGAAGAAAACATGTAAATACGCTGGTGTACAAATATGGAATAATATGCCTTTAATAGTTAAAGATTGTTAATCGTTGAAACAGTTAGAAAATAAATGATATAACTACTTTTTAAACGTGTAGTCTTTGAATATTTTGTTTATTGACGTATTTGCTATACATAATAATATGTGAATGCACATGTACGTATCTAATGTACTTTTATCTTAATATATGTTGTATACATTATGTATATATTTGACTTATTTTTTGGAACAACTTTGAATATTTATTTATTGTACTTATTTATGTAGCTGGGATATACAAACATGACTACTCATGTTTATTCCGTCCTTCCAAAATTGTTGGCCTTCAATGTTCTTCGACTTTGTACTTTTAACTTTTTTTTATTCGAGCGTCACTGATGAGTCTTTTGTATAGACGAAACGCGCGTCTGGCGTACAAAATTATGAGCTTGGTATCTTTATGAGTTTTTTTTTTTTGTTCATCGAACATCCAAGGATCTCACGAAAAAGGCAATATATACACCCTTTGTTTGAACTTAGGAATAAAAATGGCACACACGAGAATTTCAACCACCAGGAAAGACATTAGTTAGCGGTGATTAATTTTGAAAAACGCGGGAAAATGTTGGATTTACCTTAATCATTCGTATATCTATGGATCTGATCCACAAAGTCGACTTTAAATTGAATGGTAAGAGAGGTGATTTATATATTAGGTCACTTGGACAAAATCAAAGACATCTAAAGGTCAACATACGGGTTACACCAAAAGACAATTGTCCGTACAATATACGAAGCTCTAGATTCTAATGAATTTAAAGAACAACATTTACAATTTGTCAAATTCTTTTATCTCTATGCATCTTTTTATATCGACCCTGTTTAAAAGCTAATTCATGAGCACTAATTATCAATTGTGTGAGGTGTTCTTTAGTATTGAAATTCTTCAAAACAGTTAGATAAGTCACCCTTTTGGAAATATCCTTGAATTTGAAATAAGTTCGTATTTAACTACTTTTCCCTTTAGCATTCTGTAAAAGATTATCTTTCCAATATTGCATATATACCTTATAATTAAAAATCTTTAATTTCATTAACATTAAGCTTATCAATATCTACAGCATGTAAGGCAAAATCATGATGAAATCCTGTTACCATGCAACTCATTAGTAGTTTGTTTTGTTTTTGTCTTTGCGTAGTGTTCGTTTACTTGTTTGTGGCCTGTCTTCCATTTTTTCTTTGTTGGGCTATTTAGTGTTGATGGCATATCTTGACCGTCTCTTTTATATTTATTGACAACTTCGTTTGATAAATTAGCTATTGAGCAGGGTCGATATAAAAAGATTGGTAGAGATAAAAGGTTCTTTGAATTCATTAGAAAACGACTCGAATGCATTGTTGTGTGGAATGCCCAGTAGTCGATCAACAACGACAAGTTATGTTATATTTTCCTATAAAGATTAATATTTATTAGAAAATCTTGATACAGAAAACAGATTTATACCTATAATGGTTTACTTTTATAAATTTTGACTTGGATGGAGAGTTATCTCATTGGCACTCATACCACATCTTCTTATATCTAATGGATTGAGAGTTGTCTCATTGGCACTCATACCACATCTTCTTATATCTATTGGATGGAGAGTTGTCTCATTGGCACTCATACCACATCTTCTTATATCTATGGATGGAGAGTTGTCTCATTGGCACTCATACCACATCTTCTTATATCTATGGATGGAGAGTTGTCTCATTGGCACTCATACCACATCTTCTTATATCTATTGGATGGAGAGTTGTCTCATTGGCACTCATACCACATCTTCTTATATCTATGGATGGAGAGTTGTCTCATTGGCACTCATACCACATCTTCTTATATCTATTGGATGGAGAGTTGTCTCATTGGCACTCATACCACATCTTCTTATATCTAAGTATTTGACTTCTTACTGTGAACATGAAAGCATATGCAGCACTGTGGTGGCTATTATTTTTTATAAATGTTTTAAAATAAGAAAACTACCGCTATAGTTAACTTCATATTATCATTATATATAGCACGCACTTTATTGGCCGATCATCGGTTTAATAGAGAGTTCGTATTCGTATTACCATTTTCCAGTGACCGCAGATACCCCTCCCCCTTTTTTTCCAATGTGTATCCCCCAAAATGGCGGCTTAGGGAAATAACTCAAACTCAAATTATGACATTCGAAACCTATCTATACTCAATCAATATAAATAAGCTTTGAAAATATGAACAAAATATAGTAACGTATCGAATAAAGACATTTAATAGTGAATTCATATTTTGACCAATCATCATGAAAAACCGTATTATGACCTGTGCTTAATTTTTATTTGATTGTATGATGTTTTATGGACTTAAACACATGAGCTCCTTGTTAGGTTGATATGAATCAATGAAAGAAAACCCAATACGTTAAAAAACATATCTCCGGTCAAGAGATGTAATCAATTTCGTACTTCAAAAACATTTGAATGTATGTTCATGTAAGTAGTTTTGTAATAGTATCGTTTACTATTCAAGTGAGTCGTGTAAACTGTTTTGTTAAAGTTTCTGCATGCTTGAAAAATATTTAAGAAAAGTTAATATCCCCTTTACGTTGTGTAGTTTTAAAACCTGTTCAGTTAATTGTGACCGACTTTGACGGAGGTGTCGTGTGAGAATATTCGTTCAAAAAGGTAATTACGTATTTTATTTTTTATTATTTATATTTATTCATTTATTTATTTTATTTTTTATTATTAATATTTGTTCATTTATTTATTTATTTATTTTATTTTGAAATGTTTTTTTTATTCTTCATATTCACTTCGATAAAATTATCAAATAGTGAAAATGAGCTATCTGTGATTTATTTCATAATTATTCTAATTGCATAGTATCTATTTTTTTTATTGTCTACACTTTTGAATTTTCTTGAAATTAATTGATGTAAAGCCTGATAGTTTTTTTTTTAATTTCAAACGTTAAATTGAAAATATATTCACGTTTGACTTTGTAAAATTAACAAAAGTCGTATATCAAATGACCAATTATATGAAGACGGAGGTTGAAAATGTATTTGTTATATAGATTTGTAATTGTTAAGTCTAGAAAACATGATTTATTTATTACTTGTTATTTGCTTTGAACTAGCTTTCGGTAACTGCGAGTACTCTAATGTCTGTGCTTTGTGATTTTTGTTTTTTGTTTTTAATTTCGTTAAGTTTTTTTTTTTTTGTGTGCTTTATAACGATCCATTGAGTTAAGCCATGTGCAACTGATGTTTATAGTTTGTTCTAATGTTGTGCTGTATCCCAGGTTAGGGAGAGGGTTGGGCGCTAACAAACATGTTTAACACCGCCACATTATTTATATGCCTATACCAAGTCAGGAGTTTGTAATTCAGTGGTTGTCGTTGGTTAATGTTTGTCATATTTACTTTTGGTATATTACATCGTATAAATAAGGCCTTTAGCTTTCTCGTTTGAATAGTTTCACATTTTTTTATGTGGGGGCCTTTTATAGCCGACTATACGGTATGGGTTTTTCTCATTGTTAAGGCCTTGTGGTGACCTATAATTTCTTTTATCTTCGTAATTTCAACTGTGGTGGATAGTTTTCTCATTGGCAATTATACTACATCTCCATAATTTATATTATATATCGTATCAAAGCAAGTAATGTGACTGTTTAAAAAGTAGGAAAATACAATGCATTGCTCTCTAAAAATAGAATTAAATAATATTCGATATTTATTAGAATTGTAATCAATTTAATTTTTTCCCTAACTTTTTTGGTAGGAGGTGATGTGCTGTCATATTATTGTTTAATACACTTAATTATTTTTGTCTTAATATTCGTATAACTCTCTTTTTCTAATGTTTTGTATTGCCTTTTAACAAAATTGAAAGAGAGATGAACTTGAAATTTATTAACTATAGATATATTTACAACGTAAGAACAAATAATGAAAGCGATGAAATGCTAGCAAGTCGCATGCATGACTGAGTAGGGCGTTCACTTTCATAATTTTAACCATGAACTTTTGTAAAGAAACAGAATAGCACTCTTCGTCAAATGGCTGATTAGAAAACATATTCTATTTATAATATAAGCCGGTGTCACTTGTTTTCTCTTTAGGAAGCATTCTGTTCATTGGATTGTCATGTCGACATATTATTTGCATATAGCTGAAAAATTGTTACAGATATAATCGATCTAAAAAATGGCAACATGTACAGGAACAGATGGCAATGTTAATAAACATAAACAATTATTTTGTTATCAACCCTTATAAGAGTTATTTCCCTTGAAATATTAAACACAATTTTTGAAAAAGTATATTTCGAAAACCGGAAGTCGTAGAGACATGGGACCTTCACCAAAAACAAAAGAATACACATTTTTGATTTTCTATCGGTTTTTATCCGTATTAAATGATTTCAATTTTTTTAAATTCTATGCAATTATCTGGGACCAATATATAATTATATATATATATATATGATTGGGAACGAAGAACAACGCATAAGCTGCTATGCCTTCCCATTTAAAAAAGGAAAAATTTCTGACACTTTTTACCAGCAGTCATTGCCTTGATATTGAAAGACTGATATTGTATGCAGTAATCAAAAACAGAAATCTTATGAACTTGAAGCTTTGAAAAAAAGCTCAGTGACCCATACATGTAATGATATTTTTGAAAAAAGTACGATATAGACTACATTTTGACAAAGTATAATTTAAAAGAATTCTGTTGTTTTCAATTAAGACCCCCGTCTACCTGAAACTGTTTCGGTCTCTTATCTGGCCACACAAACATGTTCTTTCTGTCATAAATAAATGTTCCTCACCTTGCTTCTTTTTTTCTTTTGAATCGTCTTTGCATAGAAAGTGGAAATAACGGAAGTGACGTTTACACTGTTAACATATTGTTCCATGCATTTATAGGATAAAATGAGGACAATGCGAATAGCTAGGAAAAGGGCAGTAGCAGTTTTCTTTATCATAAGTGTTTTAATATTTACCTACACCATGACTTTCGGAAACACTCTAATCGTTGAAAGGAAAGACTCCAAAAACTATATTCAATACAACAACGCTGAGAAGATGTTGGAACCAGGGGATATCAAGTATTCGATAAATAATAAAAACATCTGTAAACAACACCATGTGGTATCATGCATTGTTCTTGTCCATTCGGAAGTAACACATTTCAATCGACGTTTAGAACTCAGGAATACTTGGTTGAATTCGACGTTTTACAAAGGGAAAGTTGTCAAAGTGGTTTATTTAGTTGGCACTGTTAATGATGAAACCCTCACAAAGAAACTGGTGAAAGAGAATCGACAGTATGCTGATATTATACAGGGAAATTTTATTGATACGTTTCGTAATTCAACATATAAAGGATTCATGGGAATAAGATGGGTGAATGAATACTGCTTGAATGCTGACGTCGTTATAAAAACTGATGATAATGCTTTTATAAACTTGTTTCTGTTTTTTGAACAATACTATAGTCATATTATAGACGACGCCTATATAATGGGAGCGTACATGCAATCCAGTAAAATTATTCGATCTAAATCAAGTAGATGGTATGTTCCAGATACATATCTTAAAGGGAAACAGATATATCCTTTGCCTTATTTAAGCGGATATGCTGTGTTTTTACCAACAACTCTGATCCCTAGTTTTTACATGGCTGCTATATCGTCAGATTTTTTTCCTGTCGAGGATTATTATCTATTTGGTGTTCTGCCTGCAAAAATCAAAAATTATAAAAACGGCGTCAAATTTCAATTCTTAGATAACAAGAAATATATGATTGGGGACGAAGGACAATGGATAAGCTGTTATGCCTCCTCATTTCAAAAATGCAAATTTCTGACACTTTTTACCAGCAGTCATCGCCTTGATATTGAAAGACTATGGTATTCAGTAATCAAAGACAGAAATCTTATGAATTAAGAATCATTGATATCGCAAAACATGTATTCGTCGCTCTTACGGTAAATCTTATATCACGTGGGAAATGGAAAGCTATTAAAAGAATTAAAATACATACTATGTAATTTCATTTGGTTGGACAAAGTGAATAAATAAAGTAATTTCTCCGGAATGAATTAATTTTATTAGATCACCTGGACTTGGGCCAATATGAGCTTTTCCCATTGCTTGGTGTCCGTCGTCTGGCGTCCGTTGTCATCGTCGTCTGGCGTCCGTTGTCATCGTCGTCGTCCGTTAACTTTTACAAAAATCTTCCTCTTCGAAACTACTGGACAAAAAGAGGATAAAAGAGTAACAATTATCTTGAAAACCGCTGTATGTAGAGAATTTAGGACATCTGGACGTTTACATCAAAACTGTCTCAGAAGATTTTTTATATGAGTTATAAACTGACGAATTTTACCTTTTTTTTTCATTTTTGTGGATTATATTGAAAACTATATTAAATAGACAGAAACTTTCACAAGCAACAATGATCAGCAAGACAAGATCTACAAATGATTCAAATGGCCGAAATCGTCAGTCGACTCATTTTTGAAGTCATTACCCTTTATTGACGATTTGTTCCCCATTTTATTTGAGCGTATTTGCCTATTATCTTGAATGCTATAACAGAAACTTTTCAAAGCAAAAATGATCAGGAAGACAAAATCGGTCGTCTAAGAATTTTCGTACCACATAGGGACAAGTCGTACAAATGTATCAATTTGGTCCATAAAATGACGAACATTCAAATTTTACATTTTTTAAATATTGTCCCAATTCAGACCTAAACTACAAAAGCTTATACTACGTTTGATATTGAATGTTGTAAAATTAAAGTCATAAGTATACAACGTCTCTCTCTCAGTGAAATTCCTTTAAAGTTAGGGATGATGGGAAATAATCATTATGAATGAAATCGTATTAGTTGGATGTAATCAGGTAAATTTTAAATTCTGATGAAAAATATTTTTCGTTTAAAATGTATTTTTTTTGTCATTCAACCCGGAAAACAAATCAAGTGTAATACTATTATCTTTGTAGTTATAAATTTTCACTCTGGTTATGTTTGATCGAGAAATGCACACGAATTGAAACATAAGAGTAGCAAAAATTTTAGAAGAGATGACTTGACAATTATTTGTTACTCAATATGTTCACAGCAAAATGAAAACAATGAAAATGCACATAGGCTGTCGCAAGGCGATACAGATTACCGTAAGATAAAAGGGTGGAATGTAATTCAACAAAAACTGAAATTTCAATTCTTAAGGCACTCCTTAATATTAATTTCAAATAGAAAAATAGAAGAAGAAAAAAAAAGCAAATATTTTTATAAACATGCTAAAATTCTGTGATATCATATTTTTTTTGTAAAATTCCGGTCTTATATTTTTAAACAAGCCACCCATATTTTAATTAGATAATGAAATATGAATGTACAACTGTTTAAAACAATATATTGAAACATAACAATTAAACATTCCATTGTCTTACATGTAAATGATTTCTTTCAATAAAAAAAAAATCCTTGCAAAATAAAAGACTGGGACATTATCCGAGGACATTAATTACTGTCAACGGACTTGAGGAGCCTGTAGTTCAGTGGTTGTCGTTGGTTCATGTCTGTCATAATTGTTTTTCGTAAATTGTTTTGTTATAAATTAGTCCTTTTGTTTTCTCAATTGAATTGTTTCATATTTTACATGTCGGGACCTTTTATAGCCGACCATATGGTATGTGTTTATCTCATTGTTGAAGGCCGTACGGTTGCCTATAATTGCTCACATCCACTTCATTTGAACTTTGGTGGATAGTTGTCTCATTGGCAAACATACCTCATCTCCTTATTTTTATATTAAACTAGTAAATTATGTCACCATGGACTTTTTAAGCATGAATTTGTGTCCGCCCCTTCATATTTTACTAGGAATAATTAATCTCTTACATAAGCAACTATTATAGGTCACCGTGGCGTACAGCCTTCAACAATGAGCTAAACATATACCGTATAGTCTGAAGACCCGACATAAAAAAAATGTGAAACAACTAAAACGAGAAACTCATCGGCCCGATTTTTACAAAAACAATAACGTATAACAAATATGACAGACAGCAATCTATGACATCAACTGAATAACAGACTTCTGATTGTGGATAGCCTACATGAAGAATGTGGAGGGGTTAAATATGTTTACTAGTTCAATAAACCCTCACCCTAACTTAGGATACTAGTAGCGGGATAAAACACAACATTACAACTAACTGTAAAAATCACTTGGAAATGAATGGATTCATCAAATAGGCATGCACGAGGCACAAAAAGCAACTTATATCAATCCAAAAGACTCAAAATATCAATCTATGACAACTCGTAGTTTCTTAAAGCAAGTTCAAAGCCAATAATAACTTAAGTTTTCTTTAGAATGGCCAATATTGGGCAGATCCAGGCAGGTGTGCATTCTTGTAAACACATGCAATTGGATTCTATTATTGTTTTAAATTGACCGATGTTTACTGGATTTAAAGAATAAATCCAAAGAATGAATATAGTTGGTAATACAAGAGTTACAGTTGTTCATGCAGATTGCACTGAAAGACAGCTTAAAAGGGATTTTTTTTTTAGAACTGTCTCTATTTCATACGCCATTTTTATGAGATTTTTTCAAATACTGCTTCAAAGAAAAAAAATAATGTTCTGTAGAAAACATTATTCAAGTTGCGATCAGAGTAACTTAGTAGTCAGGGGTTATAATTTCTTTGTTTCTATAATTTATATTTGTATAGCCTAAAAATAATGAAAAATTGAGGTATACGGTTTCCTTTTCAATCTGTCTTTAACCGCCTGGGTGGTAGCGTGTTCGCCTCGAGTGCGGGAGGTCGTGGGTTCCAACCCCGGTGGGACCATCCAAAGACTTCGAAATTAGTATTTGCTGCTTCTCCGCTAAGCACGCGGCATTAAAGAGTAAGAGCAAAGACTGGTCGGCTTTAAAGAATACGACGAAAAAATGATTTGTTTCTGTTTTAGTAAACGGTCTCTTTGACCCTTTTTGGCCAAAAGTGTTTGATGGTTCTGTTTTTCGAATGTAAATGAAAATTCTATTTCAGTCAAAATCAAAAACAAAAAGGAAAAAAGGACAACATTTGTTGGCTGTGATTCCTTTTGTTGTCCTTTTTTCCCTTTTTTAATTTCAGTTTATATCAAAGTTTTTTTTTATATAAAATAACATGCCGCAACGCATCCGATCCTTAAAATGTAATAACCGAATGCCAGATATCATAAGGTTAGTTAGAAAATAATATTATGATGACTATTTTACTTGGACAATTTAATACGATTAATAATTCAAATATATGACATCATTGTCGAAGATTAATGTTTATGGAAGTAAAATAAATGCACACAAAACACCTTCGGAGCAAGATCTGCTTGCCCCTTCCGGAGCGCCTGCAATCATCCGTGGATTTTTTGGTGGGATTTGTGTTGCTCAGGTTTTAGTTTTCTATGTTGTGTATTGTATACTGTTGTTTGTCTTTTTATCGTTTTTCTTTTTTTTTTACCATGGCGTTGTCAGTTTGTTTTCGAGTTATGAGTTTGAATATCCCTTTGGTATCTTTCGCCTCTTTTTAGGATAATTAATTTAATGCTTAATATTAAAAAATATATGTATAATTGTAAGTTCTTAAATAACTAACAGACGAATAAAACTTAAAAGAACTTTCTTAAAATCGAGGAATTATCGAATGAAAATTATCCAAGCTGAATTTTATGAAACAGAAACAATTGATGATAAATAAACTCATCATAGATACCAGGATTGAATTTTAGTACGCCAGACGTGCATTTCGTCTACAAAAGACTCATCAGTGACGCTCGAATAAAAAAGGCAGGAATTTAAACAATAATAAAACCAGTTGTTTCGGACATGTTGTTTTATTGTTTAACAAACTTTAGACGGAGTGCAAGAGCAATTTAACCCTACACACCCTACCCCAAAAATTATTTGTTTGCTGCTGATATTTTTTATAATTACAGAATTTTGTATGCAGTCTTTACCAAATCGTCATGGCTTTGAAGAATTATATTTTGATTATGACATTTAATGGATGGTGCTGTGATCTAACATATATGAACAATCAATGTGTATGGCGGAATTTATCTTATTTAGGTACGGGAATCCCAGTTACCACCTCTTCAGTGCTGGTTGCCCTTTACTGAATCAATGAAAAACATAATTATAGTGTCATTGAATGATTTATTCTTTGGCCTCTTGAAAATCTGATTGTTGTTATGATGTTGTTGTAAAATTAAAGTCATGACAAATTCGCCAATTCTAAATTTGTGTTGTTTTTATTTACGAGACAAATAATTGAATCAGGACATAGAAACTAATTGTATGTCATAGGTATTACATTATTAGATTCACCATTTACGTATAGTGTCAGTTTTGTATATTCGATATCATATACAATAATAAATAGTATGTACCAGAATTATGTACCCGAGAGGAATGACATATTATCCTCTATCTTATTTAAGTTGAATAGTTGTAAATTTACCCTGTAAACTTAATCTTCTATATGCTAACACCTAACTGACGAGATAATACTTCCCTGTAGGTCAACTTGCAGTACTGACACGAAATAACTTAATAAGTATTTATCTTTTGTTGAAAGGACATTGCAATTTATAGATAATTTATGAGGGTCTGGATGGGGGGCGGGTGTTCGGGTCCTTCATTTATTAAATTAAAAAAAAAATTATCATGTTTCATTTTTATTTATTTATTCTGACCATTGTTCTCTTTTCTTTATTTTTTTTAGCACCCCATCATTCTCCATTCTTTACTTTCTTTTCGGCCTTTTTTCTCCAGTCTTTAATTGTTTACTCTTTTTCTGCGCTTTTGTCCTTTATTCTCTATTCCGTAAACCCCATCCAGACCCTCTTTATCAAGAACCCACAGAAAGTATTTGGAATATTGAGTTAATGTGCAAAATAAAAAAATACTTGTGTATATTTGTACCGGTTCTGATGAGATGGATACATTTTATTTTAAACTACGAGTTATCTTTTAATTGTCACATACGATTGTCCGGAAAAATATTTGGAATACTGTGTATACTCGGAGT